TTACCAACGAGCGCCCTCACCGTCCCAGCTGCGCCCGGGCCCCCGTTCTACCTTCCTCCCCTCGACTGACACTGCACCACCGTCTCATGAAGTTCCCTCCCAAACTCCTGGGCCCTGCAAACCCAGGGAGTACCGCCGTTACTGGTTTTTTGTCAACCTTCAGCTGCTGATCGACAGAGCCCTCCTCGCCATCGTGCCGCCCGCCGCCGCCGCCACAACGCAACCCCTGCCAAGAGCCCCGGCCCCCCTCCCAAACCGGACCGCCGCCGCGGCGCCGGTTTTGGCGGCTGCCGGGGAGATCTCCCCGCCGCGGGGATCGGAAGGCCTGGAGGCGCCCGCGTCACTGACCGTCCGGGTGAAGCCGTTCCCGTGGCCGCCGCGGTCGGAAGACCTGGGTGCCGCCTCGGCCGCGGCGGCGCTGAACCTGCTTCTGGTGTATGCCTTCTTGGCGCCCACGCGCGCGCTGGTGGGTCGCACCGCCCGCCCGGCCGACCGACGGCTGCGCAGCTCCGATCGCGCCGCACCCATGCTTGCGGGCGCGCCGCGAACGGCCCGGGCGGCTTATGGAGGATGCTGCTGCCCCCCGACTCCGCCCTGCGCCCCCAGCCGGGGGGCGCCCGGGTGCCGTTGACTCGGGCGCGCCGCGACGCGCGCCGTGCCGCCGCGCGCCGTCGCAGGTGGTGGATGTCGTGGGGGAGAAGGAGCTGCGGCTGAGGGAGGGAATGAGGATCCTCGGGCTCACGGTGAGGGCCGATGCAATAGGTTGACACGCTTGCTGCACGCATCCTTGCTGCTACATATGATACGTCGAGCAACACGTGCTTTCGGTCGACGGCGCAGCACCTGTTGAGCGGGGTGCCGTTGTGGCTGCGATTTGCGTCCGCGGCGCCGCGTGATGGGGGCGTGGGTGCAGGGGCGTGCTTGCCTACTCATCTCACATCAGCCGCTGTCAAACCCCGTGACATCATCATGATGTCACCATGACGTCACCCTGATATCACGCTGACGTCATCGCGCCGCAGGAGGCCGCCTACTGGCTCTCCTGGGGCCTCACCCACTGGGCCGCCCTGGCCCTCTCGGGCGCCCTCTGCGCCGCGGCCGGCCTCTACCCCTTCTCTCACAGCGGCCTCCCCCTGATGCTTGCCTTTTACTGGCTCTACGGCGCCGCGCTCGTCGCTTTCGGCTACGCCGTGTCGACGCTTTTCAGCACGTCTCGGGTGGCGGGCACGGCCAGCCAGCTGATCTACGCCGTTTCGATGGTGCCCGGGTGAGCGCGGGAGCGCGCGCCGCGCGTTTCTGAAACGTCGGCAGCTGGGCTGAGTAACGCGCTGGTGTGGCGATAATGGTGCCCGGGTGAGCGCGGGCGCTGGGGCCTCACCATTGTGCACTCACTCACGGCGCGCGGTTCAGCCCAGCGGTCGAACGTTTGAACATGTCGGCGCCACCATTCAAACGTTCTGACAGCTGAGGGGAACCTTGGGCTGCCAATGACGCGGGCGGGCTGGCGGGCCTCAAGTGTTGCAAGGCCGAAACGGGCTGGGAAGGGGGGGCTAGAGCCGACCCGGGCTGGGGAATATTTTTCGTAAAGACTAAGTTCACCATGTGCTTCGCCTCCAAAGTCCCGCAAGGCCTTGTCGTGCTTCATTGCATCCGGCCAGGTCGGGGCACCCGCACCAAGCCCAGCCCATGTTGTTGCTCCGCCTATGCAAGGCTCTGCCGCGGCCCGCCGCAGCCCAGCCGGCCGCCCGGCTTGGTGGAAATCGCTCTCGCCGGTGCTAAACCCCGAACCATCGCCCCGCGCCCCCAAACCCTGCGTCTCGCCGACCTCGTGCGGCGCCCCAGGTTCCTCCTGCCCTTCACGCAGCCGCTGGGCGGCGCGGCCTGGTTCCTAGCTTGCCTGTCCCCCACCAGCGCCGCGTCGCTTTTTGCGGCCGCCCTCGTCAATTGGGAGCGCGCCGCCCTGGGTGGGGCCCTATGTGTGTGCATGTCTTTGTGTCTGGGAGGGTACATTTAGATACCGTGCGTGTGCTTGAGGCAAGCCGTGGGTAGATACGGAGGGTCAGTGTTCGCATGTGCGTGTGCATGTATGATTTTGTGTGCGTTTTGTGTGTAGGGGAATGGCAAGTCGGCGCTCGCGACGGGGAGCTGCGAACGCGTGTTGACATCAAACTGATTCGTATCCAGTACTGAAACGCCCCACAATATTGAATGATGATCCTGCTTTGGCCTCCAAACAACGTACTGACCGATTAACTGACCAACCAACCAAACAAGCAGCCAGCCTGCCTGCCAACCCACCAACCGACCGACCGACCAACCACCTCCGCCCTCAATCAGGCATCAGCTGGGCCACCCTGTGGCTGCCCATCACCCAGGACTCCTCCTTCAGTGCGGGCCACGTGCTGCTGCTGCTAGCGGCGGACGTGCCCCTCTACGCGGCGCTCACCTGGTACCTGGATAAGGTGGGTTATGAGATGACGAGCCTCTTGAAACCAGCAGCTTTGGCTTGACTATTATGAAGCCGTGCAGGTACAGGTGGTGTGGGGCGGGGTCGGCGGCCGCTGTTACTGCTGTTGCAGGTGGTACGGCTGGTGCTGGTGCTGCCGCTGCTGCTAGGTCAGATGGCGGCGGTGCTGGTGGTGGCAATACATGTCCCGCTGCTGCTTGCAGTGCTCAGGTGGCAGCCTGTGGTGCGGGTCTGTCCGCCCCTCATCGGGCGCTTTAGAAGCATGGGCTCAGAATGTTGCAAAGTGACTTGTACAGGGGACGTGCCGCGATCCCCTTGAGCCACTGCGCAGGGCAAATTTCTGGACCCTCACCTTCAATAGTCCAGGCATCAGTAGCGACCCGCCCCCCTCTGCCACCCATCCCCACCCACAGGTCATGCCTCGCACCTACGGCCAGCGCCTGCCGCCCTGGTTCCCCCTCGTCCCCTCCTACTGGATCTCGCGCGGCGACAGCAGCAGGGACAGCATTACCACCACCCCGGCCGGCGCCGCCACTCTAACCGCTTCGGACATCCTACGCGAAACCAGCGCGGCCGTCTCAGTCCGTGGTTTGACCAAGGTCTTCCCCGCGGCCCCCGGGGGCGGCGCGGCCGTGCGGGCGCTGGACGGTCTGTCGTTCGACGTGCGGCGCGGCACAGTGACGGCGCTGCTGGGGCACAACGGGGCCGGCAAGACGACGGCGATCCACATCTTGACTGGTGGGGCTGGTTCCGGCTTGCTTGTGCTTTTGGGCCGGCGTTAGACAGGAGTGTTTGTGGTTGCATCATTTGAGGAAGGGGGATTTGGTTGGGGGATGGACTTGGGTATGAGAAGGGGTCGGAATGGCTGCAAAGCGCAGGCGGAGGGGCCCATGGGTTCAGGTGTCCCTTGCTATTGTTTTGGCGTTGGTGTCTGCGCTGGAGCCGGGCCGGCGTTATTGTGTCGCTCTGTCGCCAGCTGTCAGCTCTCCTGATGATGACTCAGCTGTCAACCGTTCGACCCCTTTCTTTGAACCCCAAACCTTTTACCCCAAACCCTGCAAGCCCCTGCCAAACGCCCCCATCCCGCGAGCATCCCGAGCTCCATGCATGCTTGATCATCTTACGTCATGCCGTACCTCAAACACACCAAGATGCACTGCACATCTAAACATCGAGAGCCTCTTACGAACCGCCGTGCGAACCCCACGCCGATCCCTCTTCCCAGGCATGCTGCAGCCGAGCGGCGGCTCCGCCGCGGTGGAGGGTCTTGACGTGGCGACCTCCATGGCAGCCATCCGCCGTTCCCTGGGCGTCTGCCCCCAATTCGACATCCTCTGGCCGCGGCTGACCGTGGCGGAGCACCTGACCACGTATTGGGCGCTCAAGGGGGGCGGCGGGGACGGCGGGGGCGCGGCGGGGGCGCGGGCGGCGGTCGCGGCGGCTGCGGCGGAGGTGGGTGGGTTAGAAGCGCGGGGATTGGGCGCTAGGGGGTTGTGATTCTGGTGTAGGCTTGCGAACTCTTCTGACGGCGTCGGGAGTCGTCCACCAACACACCCAATGCACATGCAGTAAACAGGGCCTGACGAGGTTCCATCTGTGGCCGTCAGGAGTTCTATTTGTTTAGTAGGGACAACATGGAGGGACCCCCCCCAAAAAAGCCTAACTCTGACCAAGTGTGCGACAACATCTCCGCCGCCCTGTCGTCCCGACACCTCAACACACGTGTGCCTATACAAACTCACACATACACCCGCACCCATCCACACACCCTGCACACACGCAAACATCCCATTCCCTACCCCCCCCCCCCCCCACACACACACATACACATTTGCAGGTCGGCCTGTCAGAAAAGCTGGACACCCCAGCAGGGCAGCTGTCTGGCGGGCAGCGCCGGAAGCTGTCTGTTGCCATCGCCTTCCTGCGCTACCCCAAGGCACGCACAGCCGCGACGGCGGCGGCGGCACGTGGTGCTGCCTCGCAGACTCACAAACCATGTCCCTCGCGCCCTGGCTTGCTTGTCCTGCTGCCGGCGTGATTCTACAACCTCAAACGTCTGACGTTTATAACCTGTGTCTCGCTCAGCTGCTTTTGCCCGCACGACGCCTGCTGCTACCAATGCTGACGACGACGCGTGAAAACATCACCCCTCTTCGTGGCAGCATAAACGCCACCTAGAGCCCTAAGCTCGCAGTTGAGTGATGTCATCGACCGTCATGCGACCGCCCAACCACCACCCCCCCCCCCCCTAGGTGGTCATCCTCGATGAGCCGACCAGCGGGATGGATCCTGTCAGCCGGCGGGCCACCTGGGACATCGTGCGCGCCAGGTGGGCCATCACGTGTTTTATGTCTGGGGGTTGGGTGGGCGATGGGGGCGCGGCTTGTCTGGGGTGGTGGTTTGGGGTACGACGACAGGGACTTTGGGGG